GTAGTGTCCCAAATTTTCTGATCAAGGAGATCACGGGGCCAAAGAGGAAAATGATCGATGTTGTGGAGTGTGCCTAAGGAGAGTCACATGGAGAGAAAATATTCTCTCAGGCTTTCACAGAGAGCATATTGGCCAAGCAATGGCCGTGACTCATCCACATGGATGACACTGACAAAGGATCTAAAATTTGAGGTATAGGATCTCAGGATAAATCCTGAGGGGGATTTCACTGACCTTATCAGATCCAAAAGCTACAACTCTTTTTGCATAGGTCTTTCTTTATCTTGGTCTTAACCATCCAGCAGTAAAGTATAAAAACGAAGTACAAGAAGTAAAGCCATGGTGCAATGTTGAGCTGTAGGGGACTCAGGTCAACAATTTCTGACACTGCCAGTCAAGTGGAAAACCCAATACTATTATGAACTACTGGACTCTTTCAGAATATTTTGCTGAGTTATCACACCTATAATACACAAATGACAGAACTAAACAAAAAAAGGGGATACAGATGAATGTCCATTTTGTATCTGTGCATTCAAAATGGTTAGGATACATTTATAGCTACATTCTCCTAATGAATAGAGGGATTTGTTCTAATAGTGTTTGTAAATAGGATATCATGTCTGCATCTTATACAGTAAATAACTACTAGGAAGAGTGTATGCTATGTGTTTATTGTTGAAGCTGTCATACCAATTTGATTTGAAACTGTCTCTTTGCTATATGTCTCTCAATAAAATTATGGAAGAAAATATTGCTATCCTTTTTAATATCATAACCAAGTATAGTGGTATAGTACTATAATGCCACCACTTTAAGACAATAAGGCAGGGAGGAACACTACTTTGAGTCCAGTCTGGAAGACTTAGTCATTTACTGAGACCCTGTCTTAAAAAAAAAAAAAAATTAAAAAGCTGGATATTTAGTTCAGTGCAAGTACCATTGGCTCAAGCCCCTCTACTACTAAAAAGAAAAAAGTCACTAGAAAGTATCAACAGTGAAGAAGGCCGGAGAAAGAACTGAAATACTGAAAACAACTAATATCAATTCAGTGGACCATAAGATTGAAGTAAAATCAACAAATCCTCAGCTTATAATGGGAATTTCTTCAGTGTATAAGGAAGATAGCAGACAGACTACATAAAAGAATAATGTATGAATAATTTTCAAAGTTGAAGAATATTAATCTATACATCAAAAACTCATAATTTAATGGTATAATCAAAGATACAGCTGGGAGCGCGCGATCCGCCATTCGTCTTCGCACGCCTTCCCCATCATATCTCTTCTGTTACCTACCAGCGCCGAAGAGGAGGAGAAGGAGGACTAGAAGACCACAACTGAACTCTCTCCCTGTCAAGATGTCTATTGGTGTGCCGATTAAAGTCCTGCATGAGGCTGAGGGCCACATTGTGACGTGTGAGACAAACACTGGTGAAGTATATTGGGGGAAGCTCATTGAAGCGGAGGACAACATGAATTGCCAGATGTCCAACATCACAGTCACATACAGAGATGGTCGAGTGGCACAGCTAGAGCAGGTATACATCCGTGGCAGCAAGATCCGCTTTCTGATTTTGCCTGACATGCTGAAAAATGCGCCCATGTTAAAGAGCATGAAAAATAAAAACCAGGGCTCAGGAGCTGGCCGAGGAAAAGCTGCTATTCTGAAGGCTCAAGTGGCTGCAAGAGGAAGAGGACGTGGAATGGGACGTGGAAACATCTTCCAGAAACGAAGATAACTTTTATGTTGAACAGAACTGTGCTTACATTTTTTGTTCAGGGTATCTTGAGTTCATGGGGGCGGGCACTTGTGTGTATATCTTAGATTTGCTTTGACATCTTTCTCTCTAGATCCTAGGAAATGTTAAACTAAATAAATCTGGTTGTTCTGGAAAAAAAAAAAAGAAGAAACAAAGATACACTCTTCAACACAGTATTCTTATGCAATTAATAATAAAAAATCGGGGCTGGTGAGATGGCTCAGTGGATTAAGTGCTTCCCTGGCAAGCGCAATGGCCTAAGTTCAATTCCCAGTTCCACCAATAAATAAATAATAACTAAACAAAGAAATAATCTTAAAAGAAACCAAGAGAAAAATGATTCCTCACTTAGAAGAATCTTTATTCTTTTTGGTACCAGGGATTGAATTCAAGACAATGTGCTTTCTAGGCAGGCACTTATGCCACTGAGCTACTCCCCCAGCCCAAGAATCTTCATTAAAATAACAACTGATTTCACATCAGAAATGAAGGTCAAAAGGTAAACACATCAGAATAGAGATTTAAAAACCTTCTAACTAAGAATTCTATAGTCAACAAAACTTTCTGTAAAAAATGAACAAATTTAGATGTCATCAAGGTCACAAAAACATGAAACAGCATTGTTAGAACAAAAGGGACAATTGGACATTTCAATAATAATAGAAATTTGAATACCCTATTTACAATAATTGACAGGAGAAACCTGTCAAAACAGAAATAATCAAAACAGAAATGCAAGTCTTCAATAATACTAAAAATAAACTAGGCCTAACAGCAAATTGTAGGAATGTATGCTTACCCCACTTTAGTCTTTTAAGTTCATGTTTATAACATAGAATGATTACAGTCTCTGTGGGGAGTTATTACATACACATAACACATCTTAAATGCCTTTAAATCCTCTTTTCCTTCCCTCTCCCACCCCCAGGCTTTGGGTCCCCTTCCAATTTGCAAAATATTTCTGTGTGTGTGTGTGTGTGTGTGTGTGTGTGTGTGTGTGTGTGTATTTTAATCAATCCTTTATTTTGTTTTCTATTTGTAATGTGTATTTTTCCTATGTGAGAAACCATATGGTGTTTCTGATTTATCTCAGTTAACATTATGCTTTCTTTTTTTGTATTCAATACAGGGTCTATGGGGTCTCACTATGCAGATTGGACTCGTAGTGATTCTCCTGTTTTCAGCCTCCCAAGTGTTGGAATTACAGGTGTGCACCACCACACCCAGTCTCAATCACTATCTCAGCGTGCCTGGGTGGAGGGCCAGCGCAGCAGCCAGGGATCAAACCTCAGTCCCTGCTTCTGCCTAAGTAGGTGCTTCAATCCGCTAAGCTATCTGGCCAGCACCTTAACATTATGCTTTGAAGGTATATTCATTTCCCTACAAATGCCTCAAGTTTATCATTTTTTCATAGCTGAGTGGTACCCATTATGTATGCATTCCACATTTTCTTTACCCATTAATCTGCTGATAGACATATAGGCAGCATCCAAGATTTAGCTATGGGAATAGTTCTGTTATAAATATTGCTATGTATTGTTTCTTTAATATCATGTCTTTCAATCTTTTCAGAAGATACTTAGAGAGGAAAAAACTGTGTGGAATGGAATTTCTAAGTTTCTGAGAACTCTCCTTACTAATTTCCATAATGATTGCACCAATTTGCATTCCAAGCAGCAATGTTAATGTGTCCCTTTCTCACAGCTTCACCAGCATCTGTTATTATTTGATTTCCTGATGATGGCCATTCTTTCTGGAATAAGATAAAATCTCAGCAGTGTATTTTTCTAATGGCCAGTGAAGCTGAACAATTTACCATTATTTATCACCCATTGTATTTCTTCTTCTGAGAAGTGTGTACTATTATAGTTGCTGATTTTAATTTTTTTTATATGGGGAGCTATTTTTTTTAGTTCTTCATATGTTACAGATATTAATCCTCTATCAGAGGTATAGCCAAAAATTTTTTTGTCTATCTTGCAAGTGGTCTCTGAACTCTACTAGTTGTTTCCTTTGCTACGCAGAAGGTTTTTTTTTAATTTCATATAATCTCCCTTGACTCTTGTTATTTTGTTGGCAACTGGAGTTCTGTTCAAAAAGTCCTTCACAAACCTATAACTTCAAGAGTTTTACCTATAGTATCTTCCAATACCTTAAGCATTTCTCTTTTACTATTTAAATCTTTGATCCATATTGATTTTAGTTTAGTACATAGTAAGAGATATGGGTGTAGGCTCAAATTTCTGCATGAGCTTAGCCAGTTTTCCTTCACTATTCAATAAAGTATATGCTTTTGGACCTTTTTTCAAAGGTCAGGTGGCTTCTTATGCCTAGGAATATTTCTGTATCTATATTCTAATCTGCTGATTCACACATCAATTTTGTGCTATCTTGCAGTCTTTATCACTGTCCCTTTGTAGTATACTTAACATCAGGTACAATACTGTGATGCTTCATGATTTGGTCACATTGCCTAGGATGGCTTTTTGCTATTCTAGGTACCTTCTGGTTCCTTCTGAATTATAGAACTGTCTCCCTACTTCTGTGAAAAATACTGTAGGCATTATGATGGGATTGCATTAAATCTTTATATCAATTGTAGAAGGAAGACCATTTTGATTATTGGTTCTGCCCATTTAGGAATAGGTGATATCTTTTCATTTTCTGATCACCTCCTTAATTTCCTTCTTCAGAGTACTGTACTTTTTGTTGTGAAGTTCTTCACTTCCTTTTTTAGGTTACATAGGACACTATGTAAAAAGAACATCTTTAGGGTCGCATACACATGAAATCAGTACACCAAAAAGTATTCAAGAATATCAAGACAGTGATAAGGAAATTAACAAAGACAAAAATCTCAGAAAGCATAAATACATCAAATAAAGCAAATAGTTAAACAGAAAAGGAAAATAAAGTATTCAACAGAAAACAATGAAATGAAGGAATAAAAAGCAGATATTACTATCTCCCTTGCAAAACTGATAGGACTACAAGGGTGAGTTATAAACAAATATATCACAATAAATTAGGTAACCTAAGTGAAATAAAAAGTCTTCTAGGAAAAAAGCAAACAATTGAAAGTTACTTGAATGGAAATAGAAAATAGAACAGATATATAAGGAAAAACTAAAATTACATTAATATTAAAAACTTCTGAAAAGCACAGGATCAGATGCTTCGTGGGATTAATTCTACCAAACATTTACCAATAATGCCAATCTTTCACAATCTTTCAAGAATAAAAGAAGAGCAACTACTTCTAAGTTCACTCCATGAAACCAGTAGTATCCTGTTAGCAAAGTCAAAGACATAAGAAAAATACAAAACTACTCACTGAAATTGCTCATGTATATAGACACAAAGTTATTCAACATTAGCAAATTAAATATATGTGCAACATTAAAATCCATGGCCAAATGGATACATGCCAGCAGTATAAATTTTATTCAACATACTAAATTCATTCAATGCAGTATACTAGTTGCATAGGAGACCAAAACCATGTATCAGCTTAGTAGTTTCAGAAAAGGCATTTAACAAACAACCATTCATTATAAAAAGCACTCAGGGACAATTCTCAATCCCATTATAGCCATCAAAGAAAATCTCATAGCTAACATCACTCTTGATGAGAACCTGACAGAAACAAGAGAAGATGCATACTTCACACTTACCATTCATTGTACTGGAAGTGCTGGCCAGGAAAATTCAGCAAGGAAAACAAATAACATGCATTCAGGTTCAGAGAAAGAAATAAAATTATTTTCAGAAGACATGAGATTAATATAGGCAATCCTAAGAAATACAGAATCTACTGGCACTAATATATTACTTGAACAAAGTTGAAGAATAAAAGATAAATGTAGAAAATCAATTATGAATCTACCTACAAGTAAGAAATAATCCAAAAAATTAATAACACTTTCATTTATAGCAGCATCAAAAACTAAAATGCTGAGGCATAAATTTAATAAAAGAAATGAATAATTTGAACATTAGACACTACCAAATATCATTTAGAGAGAAATTAAAGACTTAAAATAATAAAAGCCCTCCTGTATTCATGGAACGAAAGACATTATATTGTTTATTTTTATTTATTTATTTATTTTTTGTAGTTAGTACAGGGTATACAGGGTCTCACTACATAGATTGGACTCATACTGATTCTTCTACTTTCAGCCTCCTAAGCACTGGGATTACAGGCACGTGCCACCACGCCCACCCAGTCTCAATCACTGTCTCAGTGCACCTGGGAGGCAGGGCCAGCACTGCAAGCCAGGGATGGTACCCTGACACTGCACTCTGCCTAAGCAGGCACTTTAATCCGCTGAGCTATCTGGCTGGCAAAATAAAAGAAATATTTCATATTTCTAGAGGTCTGAAATCAGGATCATTAGGGCTTCTGATGCTTGCTGGCAACCCTTAGTATTCCATAGTGTTTGCTGTACCACTGTCATCAAATGACCATCTTCATCTTGTCTCCTTTTGTCTGCCACTGTGACCAAACTACCTTTTCTAGAAAAGTATCAGTAATATAGGATAAATGCCCACTTCATTTTAATTTAATTGCCATTATCAAGATCCAGTTAAAAGAAAGCATTCCTGGAGCAATGAAATATTCTACTCTCCTATCTCATAACTATAAAAACCAAGTCTGCCATTGACATGGCTGAAGGTTAAAACCTCCAATCATGTACCCAAACTCATTTTATGACATAATCTCAACATTATTTTAGGCTTGATGGTTCAAGAAAAAAGTAATATGGTATTTTTAATATCTTCTGGTCAAGGACTTTTACTTACAGTTTTTATAAGTTCCTCTAAAGAATATGATGTCAGAACTGAGTCTTACAACTGCCCTTTGCTCATGGTTGGTTCAGCTTTCAAAACAGCATCTCAGGGTCTCACTAGACTCTCACTTCTCTGAAACTTTTGCTGTATCTTAAGGCAGTAGAAATAAGAGAAAAATTTTCTGACTTAGCCAACTAAAGTTCTATGACTGTGAGACAACTATAACATCTGAGAAATTCTTACAGAGATATTAATGCTTAATATCTCACAAGAGCAATTGTGAGAATTTTCTGAGATTACATGTTAAAACTAATTTATGTAGGCTTTTCTTCTTTCTT